AGCAGAAGGATGAGAGAACCACAAGGCAACAACAAATGGACAGGAATGAAGCCATGTTTAAAGACCTGGTGGATGCGTACATAGGCATGACTACCACAGTAAAGGAACTGAAGACCGAAGTTACTGATAGACTAAACAAGAACATCGGCGAGATCAAGGACAAGCTCAACACAATCGCTACCAAATATGACATGAATGCCCAAATGAGATCCACTCGTAATACTATAGCAGCACCAAGGTCAGAATCGGGCAAGAGAGGAGATAGCAAAGAAGCTACTACCAGAACAGGAAGATCAACCGCCAAGCAGCCTTTAAACTCGAAGACCCCGCTACCATGGAACCGGGTAGCGGGCTCAAGAACCACGACGATAAGAGTAGGACGCAAGAACGACCCCGTGATCATAACAGAGAACCCAGTGACCCCGGAGGACGCCACGACGCCGGTCATTACACTGGACCAGCAAGACAAGAAGGCGCTCTGGGAGGCCAGACCTCCTCAGACAGTGGAAGTCACGGCAGTCACACTCGACAGGGTGAAACCACGAAACCTATTCCCGGCGAAGGATTGGAGGAACTTACTCAAGAAACACGGAATACACCCGGTGGCCATCTGGTTCCCGTGGAGAACCTCGGTCGAAATACTAATCAAGACGGACGAACTAGCAATAATGAACAGTCTAGCGAAAGCCATGGGGAGAGAAGCGCTACTACTAGATCCGACAAAGCGTCGCGATGGCCAGCCACTACCACTAACCCAAGCAGCGCTAGCAACCTCTGCGAACATAAGACTAAAAGACTTGGAGTACGAAAGGCACTGGACAGCGAGGAAGTACCTCGAGCAGACGATCAAGAAGCTGATCGATCAGATGGACGACGACATGACCAAGACCATGATGTACCACAAACTATCGATGGGAGTATCCCCACCAACCACCCAAGTCGACAATCCCTTCCTCCCATAACGCTAGCAAGTGGCAGAGAAAAGGTAACGACTCGAGACGACTACCCCACATTGAGAACCAGAAGCAGACCAAAGCACTACCTCGTCATGGCAGTCAACATTGACGGTTACAACGATAAAAAGGAACTACAGTTGAGGAGCCTTATACTGCACAACCGACCACATTTGGTTATTGTCACAGAAACATGTACCGTACTACACCGAACCATATACGGAAGCCAATATACTGTCATTGGAAATGCAGGGCCGGCAGATGGAGTAGCTTTGATGATAAGACAGGATGTGCAGTACCGAATAACCACCAAGACAACGAGGACAATCACAGCTGAGTTAGATGGACTGGTCACCTGCGTAGGTACCTATGGACCCACCGAGCAAACTGCCGACAAGGTTAAGGCACAATACTGGGATCACCTGACAAAACAAATAGCTGGAGATAAGCCGATGTTGATTGCAGGCGATCTCAATGCTGGGCATGAGAGGACAGAACTAAGGACAGTAAAAGGCATACCAAACTACACCCGGCTGCAAAGAATGGTGCAACACCATGACCTGAACATACTACCAACATCACCTACATGGATATCGAAGAGGTCCAAGGACCAGACACCAAGCCGAACCCTGGACCGTATACTGGTCAGCACCGCCCTTACTAACGACAACGAGGTACAGCTTGACTGGGAGAATGCGCCAGCCGACCACGCCATACTAACGTATAAATGGATCATACATTCACTGAATCACAGCCAAGGAAGACCGAGGAGCCAGCAACTAGTGAGGGACCATATGGAACCCATCACCAAGACCTGGCTTGGGCTAAGACAGAAGCTCAAACTACACTTCCGGGCGCAACAAACACGAGTCAATAAACAGCCCAATCCATACCAGAGACTATGGGAGCAGTATAGGAAGCAGAATGGTGAAGAAGGCCTAACTCTAATCGACACGGAAGGCAAGGATATGGAACCGGAACAAGCCAGATTGCAACTACGGCAAATGCTACATGACAGATGGAATCAAACTGACAGTAATTACATCCCACCAAGGAGGGAATCAAAGATATACATGGATCAACCACCCTGCACAAAAGAGATTATAGAAGCAGTGAAGGCTATTAATAAGAAGGCAGCCACGGGTTTAGATGGTATACCAGCACGATACGCCAGCGCGATACCGATCGAAGACTTGGAAGATTTCACTGAGCAGGTGTGGAGGCACACGAAACTGCCCAGACAACTGGTCGACATGAAGGTGAAGCCGATTCCAAAGACACTACCGAGGACCACCGTGGATAACACGAGACCCATCACCATCCCATCGACCGTGATGAAGATAATCAACCAAATCATACTACAGCACATTACTCCTTACATTGAGCCACACCTACTGCCACAACAGCACGCCTACCGCAAAGGAAGGGGAACCGCTACGGCAGTTGCTGAACTCTTCAACAAATTCAACCGACAAGGACAGACGCTCTTACTACTTGACCTATCGAAGGCCTTTGACACTGTTGACCACGCGGCCCTCTTTGCGGCCTTAAGAAACGCGCAAGTACCCAGTAAGGAGTATAACCTTATACGCGACCAATATGTGGATGCCGAAGTACGAATACAATGGGCTAAGAGGTTCACCTTACCATTCCTACTAACTAACGGGATCAGACAGGGATGCACACTTAGCACTACCCTGTTCAATCTCGTCGAAGCTGAAAGGGAAAAGAAATGCCGTATCAAGATGCAAAGAGTGCCATATGAAGTCATCATGTATGCTGATGACAAAGCGGTGATTTTAGAAGACCCTACTTCCGTCCAGAAAGTGCTAGATGTCAACCAACAGACGGCTGCGGAATACGGGATGTTTCAGAACAATAAGAAGACGGTGCAACTAACGCTAGATCGGGGCACCAAGATGATTCAGACGGCCAGGTGGATGGGTATCCTGCTCGACAATAAGATGAGCATGAACCCGGAAGTGGACCACAGGATTGACAAAGCCAAGATAGCGGCAAAAAGCTATATCGAGACCATCAAGAATATACCGCCCTCAATGATCAGTACCAGAATTAAAGTCAGCGGAGCGTGCTCTATAATATTACCACACCTCGTCTACTTGTGGAGGGAAATACCCTTCACGCCACAGCAGAGAGCCACCCTGACTGACACCGCGACACAATTATTGGCCAGAGTCTTCGATAACACGAGCGGGGTGACAGCTACCTCCATACTGAGGCACGTTAATGAAATAACCAAAGGACTGACACCAAGAATCAAGGAAATAAAAACCCTGGACCATATAATGCCCAAACAGATGCTACAGGACGTGCCGATGGACACGGGAGAACTGAAGGGGACGGACATCGTGTATGCGCGTCTGGACCAGCAGATGGAGATCCTCGCGGATAAAGGCACTGCGGCACTAAAGATGAGTATACCGAAGTTACAGCTGCCAACGAAAGAAACCGAAATTAGCTACTACAGTCCAAGAGAAGAACCACAATACGAGGAGACCAGAGAACTGTTTGTTACTACCCTTGAAACCTCACCGCCGACTCCTGGGTTTGGAAAGGACAAGCATCATCCGCAGATGGACAACATGGCCCTGCGACTAGACACGATACAACGAGTAGAGCAAGTGCAACTCACCTGCCCATACTGTGGGGCCACAAAAACTACTAAACAAGCCATGCGTTCACACTACACTACCGCACACCAGGGATTATATCGGCCACCTGCTGATGATCCGTGCTTTTGTGTAGCCTGCAGAAGAGTGATGACCAAGTCTTATTATAGAGACCACCGCTGCAGGAAGCCAAAGCAGGAGGAATACGGCGAGGCAGACTGTATAGGATGCGGTATTAAGCTCACAAATCCACAACTATCGGCACATCTGATACACTGTGTCAGGTATGAAGGGCAACTAACACCGTTAAAGCAGAATACCGGAGCATTTGAGTTTGCGAAGAAGATACGAGAAATGTTAAGACCGTCGTCACCGAAACTGAAATCGACGCAACAACTGACAGCGGAGACTGTCGCCACCACAGAACACATACTCGCACAAGCAAGAAACAGCCTACGGCCGCACACACCGAGAGGTGAGAATGCGCCAGCAAGTAAGGGGAAGCTGAGGTTGAGGAGTGACGGAGACCTGAATGATGAGGTGGAGAAGATGAGAAGAGACACGGAGGAGAGAATCAGGAAGGAGCAATCAACCTGCAATCGGTGTAATAAGGAACTCAAGTCCTCACAGGCACTTAGACGCCATGAGGCCCTATATCACCCGGGTACGGAGCGACCGAAAGGGCTCCCAGTATTCTGCATCGGCTGCAATATGCCTTTCAAAACGGCTGCTACATACGTTAAACATAAGTGTTCAGGAACAATGGCGCAGGAGCTGTCAGCCAAACGATGTCAGATGTGTGACCAGGGCGAGCTACCAAATCCAGAGTACTCCGCACACATGCTCGCCCATCAGATCACCACTGACAACCTGGAGATTACACAAAAAGAACTCTACGATCCCAAGTAAAATTTCGATGGGCACCAGAAGCAAGATTGACGCCAGAACGCTGCAATTCAGGAAGCGGGTGACCACTCAGGTCACCAATAAGCTGAAGGTATGTATGCACTGTGAGATGGTACAGACGGACCCACATTTGATGAAGCAGCATTACAAAAGATACCACTCAGGAGAATACAAGCCACCTAAGGTGCTACCAGCCTACTGTGTGGGTTGCAGTAAGTTACTGCCTATCCACTACTATAGAATCCACAAGTGCCGAGGGAGCATGAAGGATGAGATGAGGACGCATTGCTGTAAGACATGCGAGGAGACGATGGCGAATCCAGAGTTATCAGCGCATTTGATACAGTGTATGAAACCGACGGATGCAGACTTTGATCTACACAAGGTAAGCAAACACGACTATGACGGGATAAGAGATCTTGAGATGCGTATCTCGTCGGAGGAAGAGGAAGATGAGGAGTCACCCCCGGTAATGAACATAAGAGAGCGTACCCTGGAGGCCATCAAGCGAAAATTAATGACGTGCCCAGCGTGCAGCAAAACTTTCACCACCACGCAAGCAAAGAGACGTCACGACGAAGCAACTCATCGGCAGCAAACGCCCATAAAGGGCAATCCGGCGTGGTGTACTGGATGTCATAGAGGATACCAAGGATCCAGTGCCTACACCCGACACTTCTGTCGGAACACGGATCATGAAGAAGACGTAGACGCATGTGACTTCTGTGGAGAGAAGCTTGCGAATCCGGACCTGTCGGTGCATCGACTCCGACACTACGAGGAGAAAGAACAGAACGCCGGAAAGAACTAACGTAGCAAACACCATTTTTACCACCAAAACGCCTGCCCCGGTCATATGGGAGTTTAGCTAAGCTAACGTGCAATGCTAGAAGCAAACAGACTTTTCAACAACAACAAACGTCAGCTAGTCTAGTAAATGACGGTAGACATACGAATGACCCACCAGACCTCGAATCAGAGCCAGCACCGAAACCGGTTGCTATGTCGATCGAGGACAGCGAGGGAGCCAAGACCGCATCCGCTGCGGGGTACGAGGGAAGAAGGCCTGTAGTCAATAAGACCAGACCTAACAATAATGCTGTGGAGGCAGAAAACGCAAGAAAAAGAGGGGTCGCACACATACAGCCACTGACCACAACAGAGATAGGGATAGCGCTCCTAGACCTACGTAACGAAGTTGCAGCACTCAGAAAGGAGCAGAAGGATGAGAGAACCACAAGGCAACAACAAATGGACAGGAATGAAGCCATGTTTAAAGACCTGGTGGATGCGTACATAGGCATGACTACCACAGTAAAGGAACTGAA